GAACACCAAAAACTTGCAAAAAAAAAAAAAAAAAAAGTGGCAAAGTGGCACACTAGCCGAATGTCAACCACTGACATACAGAGAGAAATCAGATCAGATAGCATTAAATCATTAAGTAAAAGGGTTTTTGGCAAAAGTTCAACCAAAAGTCAGCCATCTCATTAGTAATGAAGTTTCTGAGTTACAAAAAATGAGGTATACAGATGACAAAAGTGCAGAAGGAAAGAGGTCAATACATCAGAAAGGTTCTAACTAGAAGCATTTGCCTCGTCAGCTTCTTGATGGTGCTGAACGGTCCCCTCATCACTTTTGGCGGTTCCGTCCTCACGAGGAGGAGAATCAAGCTGAATGACAGAATCATTCTACTGAGTTCTATCCTCAGTAGCATTGGAAGAATCATTTTACCAAGTTTCATCCTTAGCAGCGATGGGATGGAATCACGGTGGACATAGGAAGAACGTCCAGAGGTTGAGCAGTAGAGGGAGTAGGAGTGATCCTGGAAGAGGCGATCTATTGGCATTCATCAAATATGCCCTCAGCAGGGGTGGAGTCTGGGTCGGCATAAACACCCAGAGGATCAATCTCCAGCTCTTTGTCAACCTTATCAGGGGTAGAACCGATCTGACCTTCAGCTGGAACACGATCGGTATAACCCTCTCAGAACCCCTGAGCATATCTGAGGGCCCCAACCCTAGAAAACCGAGCGTGCAGAGCTAGCATACCACTATTTACCTTACTAATGGTGTTGAGTAAAGCATCACGCTCGTCTAGAACTCTTTTCTCAAAGGTCATCCAAGCGGATTGCTCATCACTCAGAAGGCGCTGAAATTCTTCCTTCTCAGCCTTAAGAGATTCTCGCTCAGTATGCCAGACACTCTTCTCAAGTTGCAGAGCCTCCTTTTCGTCCTAAAGAGAGTCTATCTCCTTTTTCAGAGCATCTCTCTTTTTTTCAACTTTGCTGAGCTGAACCATCAGCTCAGCATTTCTGGTGATGATGATCTTGTTTTCTTTATTGGCAACATTAAGGCTGTCAGAAAACTTACGAGCCTTGGCATTCCCCATCTCTACTTGCTTCTGCATGACCATCATCCCAAACAGGGTCTGTAGAGATATACATGATAACTAATTAAACCAAGCAGGTGATCAGAAGAAATCAAATATAAAGACTATGTAAAGATTTGCTGACTGAGGGGGAAGACTTACCTCCATGGTAGACAAAGGAAAGCGGCTGAACGCTTCCTTCTGAGATAAACCCTTGGCAACCTCAATGTCTCTGGGAGTCCACATGCTCCTGTAGAATGCCATAACGGTTTGACCATCCTTGAACATGGTCTCGTTCGGCTTCACATATAACCCTTCTGTTCGGATAAACTAAGGGGTCCATGGCGCCATAGTGAGGCAGAAGCATTGGCCGAAACAGACCCTGAAGGAGCAGGAGGTCTGATTGAAGGTGGAATGGGTGCATTCGGTCCAGATGGACGAATCCTTCTTAATAGAGGGATATTCTCTGGGCTAGAAGGAGTATCAGGCTAAGGCCTCTTCCCTCTCTCATTTTCCCGAGCAGCAGTAGTGGTATTGGCAGAACGGGTGCCAGCTGAAGGAGTTGCGCTTGGATTAGTAGGTGGAACGTTAGTAACTGGGTTGGCAGTTACCACGTTCAGGTTGGTGGAAGGAGTGATATCAGAAATAGTGGCCGAAGATGATACTGAGGCCGAAAAGGAGGTTTCAGCAGGATTAGCAATAACCCTCGGAGGATCTTTCCTCCTGCCGAAGGAAGGAATCCAAAGCTGGCTCATGTTTTTACCAATAAGTGAGATATCAAAGAGGTTATCCGAAGTAAGGAGATCTGAGCAGGAAGGGATGTTGTTTAAAACATATTCGTTCCAGTAGTTGATCATATCCCTGCAAACAACATAACCCAAGTCATTATAAGGAATGCCTAGGGAATGGCAAAGAAAAGTACAGAAGCGAGGGACACAAATTTCGCAAAAACAGTCACTTTTATGCGTTTTGAATTTCTTATACAAAGAAACCGAGCATTAGCCAAAGGCACTCAGGATAGGAAAGTCCTCTGCAACTGGAGAAGACCAAGCCCCTCTAACCCCTATTATGTTTTTTCTCCAACCCTTCTCGGATTTGATTTTGTCCTTATATATAAATCTCTTTTTGATCGGGTAGAAGTGGTAAAATGGTTCATCAGAACGGATCTTGCTAACTTTGTAACAGAGGAGAAGATCTATGATATCAAGATCTAGACCTCTGTCACGGATCAAAAGCAACAGAACGGATAATACTCTAAAGAAATTGGGGTTTACCTACAGAGGAGAAAGCCCTAATTTATTAAAAACATAGTTAAAGAAGGGATGCAGAGGGAACCTAATGAGGTTAAGATGAAGATGGGAAAATATAACCTCGCCGGGAAGAAGGCCAACACTAGTTCTAATATCCACCTCTTTAGGGCAATTTCTAATCTGTATATCGTCAGGAAAATGAAGTCTCATGCGAAGAATATCTAGATCTATAGTCATAGTGAGAATGAATGAAGACTTTAAGGGAGAAAAAGAGGTCTTCTGAAAGAGAAAGGCAAACAAAACTAACCTCAGAGAGTGAAAACGTCAAAGAGCACTACAAGGTTGCTGGAAAAAAGAGCTTTTGCAATAAATCGCCGGAGAAGATTTGATTCGGAAGAGATGGATAAGGGTTTGATTAATAGTAAAGAACAATAGAAACGGTAAAGAAGATTGATGGAACATCCCTGAGGCTTATAAAGACAATGTAGGCCCGAAGACCAAGGATTCGGGAAATCGAGGAGTTTTTTTTTGAATCTCAGAGCATCGATTCCCCGAATCCAACCGTTCATTTTACCAAGAGATCTTCTCAAGCCGTTAAGCCATGATTAGCAGCCTCTAATAATTACCCCCTAATTAATTAGGGAGTAATTATGGGGGCAGTTGAGGATATCAGAAGTAATATGGGCCGGATATGATCCGCGGACGTGGCATCGGGTCAAACAATTGAATTCAGCCCATACAGGAGCACCACAAAATGGGCCGAGCTCGGAGGATCCATCGAAGAAGGCCGAGCCCACTGGAAAGAAGGCCCAAAGCTGATAGTCCAGCAGCATTTGTAATTGCCTATAAATAGGCAGTGAAGAGAGTAAAAGAGTGAAGATTATTGTGAAATGTACTGAAATTCTGTCAAAATGGAGGGAGAGATTTTCTTGCATTTACATAGAGGTAGGGGTCTCTAATTCTCACTACCTTGTGCTTTTGTGAGTCATTCTACTATAATTATTGTCAAGCATGATCAATTTGATTTATTTGCCTCTTAAATGACTTGATTTTGTATATAGCATGTGGTTATGTGAAATTGTTGAATTGTATGAAAGATATGCTTGATTATTGGATTCTCTATATGACTGTGTTGATAAAATTATTAGAAATTATTCATGGAAGTTTATGGAAATTCTTTTAGAATTATTGTAAAGTATGCTTAATATATTAATTGTCATACCTAAGTGTTTATTATCTTGCTAAAATAACTATATGGATGCATGCTAAATTGTATAGTAGAAATTTCTTTAATTTCTTGGAAATGGTAAAGCATGTGATTTGCATCCATAGCATTGGGCATGAAAGAAAAAGGGTACAATGATTTGATAATAATGAAAAAGGGAATTTTTTGGGAGAATTTGATGAAACGGTTTTTGAGAAAAACCCGGTCGCCGCGGAGTCACCAAATGGCCGGTGTGTTAATATAACCTAGAGGGAACTAGGGAGATTGCCCTAGCGTGGTTGAGCTATCTGGGCCCCAAATGACGCTGCAGAGGTACCAAAGGTCAGGGACAATAGCCAATCCTTCTCTTATGTCGTTGCGGAGTCACCAAAGGGCGGGTTATATTAACAGTTTGTGAAGTGATGATGTTTTCTGAAAATGGGGAGTGACATGCATAACATTGCATTCATGGCATGAAATTTATTTGTTTTGAACTTAGAATTGATATTGTGTTTTCCCGACTTTGCATGATTCCAAATTCCTATTGTCCTATTCCTTGTTTGGATTCACGGGGACACAAGAGGTGTGTCTTAGGCACCATCTACTGAGCAATTTTGCTCACCCCTTTTATTTAACATTTTTTACAGGAAACGGGAAAGAAGTGGCGGATGACATTCTACCACAGACTTAGTATAGATTAGGAGCTTATTTTGTTATTTTTGTACTTGGGTCTCACTATTTTGTAAGAATTAGCATAATGTATTTTGTATGATGACATGGACATTTGATATTAATCTTGTATTTTGGGACTGTAATTATGATACTTAGATGATATAGGATGTGGTTGTACCACCATGGAATGTATTAGATGTTTATTGTGTTGGGACAGGTTAAAAATGTTTTTAAACAGCTTGTTGTAAAACGATTTTTAGCGGAGGTCATGCCGAATTTTTTTAAAAAAAAAAAATTTGGCATCAGTTAAGGTCGTTACAGATAAGGTGACCAAGTAATTAAATGATAAGATTTGATTAATTCAAAGATTGCACTAAAGATACGATTAACTAATTCCTTCTCTCCCGGAAGGAAATGAAGAACGACAACTTCAACTTTCTATAAAAGTGAGACCAGTCAACATAAAAAGGTACGCCATAAATCCCATCCCAGAGGGAAATCCTTTATCGGATATTCAATCGTCAAGTACAAACTTGATCGACGGACTACACCCGGCCGGCACCACGCCGCTCATCACTTCTCTTATCTTGCAGGAATGGCCATTGGCTCCGGATCGTGCGGATTTTTGCATCAACAGATTTTAATTTGATAGAAAGTGAGATTACTACATCATGATTTGGAGGATTATTCCCCACCACAAATGTAAGTGGTGGGTCTCAATCAATTTTTCTTTTTTTAATTAGCAGTTCTATGAAATATGAAACGTATTAATGCAGTGACATATTATTGATTTCTCTATCCATGAAGAATATGTAGTAATATCCTATAACACAATGGCAATTCCCCCATTGGTTGATGCAAAATCTTGTAATATTGCATCACAGTATAGGTGGTACTACTCAGTATGTTGCACGTTTCAAGCAGAAAAGATAAATCGTCTTAAATTAGGAGGTTAAAAAAAATTAACTCATCTTTCCTTATAGCAGTTTTCACTTCATAAGTGACATTGAATAATTAATTAAAAGTTCTGAATATATTAGCAATTTGAATGTATTCACTTATGAGTTAAATTAGTTTATTGTTGTGCATTTGAATTTTGAAATATTAATACTTCTGAAACAAAAATAATAATAATAATAATAATAAAAGAGGAACCGTGGAACCAAACCGATTTCTTATGATTTGGTTTGGTTGGTTCCTCTGGTCAAATGGTTCGGTTTGGTTCTAGATTTTTCAAAACCGTTAGGAATGGTTTGGTTACAAAAAACTTTCAAACCGGTCCAAACCGAACCGTGTACATTCCTAGTTTTAAGTCATAAGAGTATCTCCAGCAGTCTGTTAAAATATTCTTTTAAGTAAAATATACACCGGCACGTATGATGTATAAATTTTTTTTTATCTCCAGCAGTCTGTTGAGATACACTGTCATGTCATCAATGTGTAAAATTGTACGTTGTGTATTTTATACAATATTTTTACACAGTCACATCAGCATATTTCCCTTCTGCTATCTCTTTCTCATCCCATTAAAGAATCATCACTATATTATTAAGTAGGTTTATAACAGTTATGTGAGGTTCTGGCATGACACGTGGTTAGTTATTATTGGAGGATATATTTTTACACAAAAGATATAAAACAATCACCAGAGCTAAAAATAAATAATCCAAAATTTTTGTGTAAATCTATCCTGACACATCATATTACACAAAAAAAATATACACAACGGTTGAAAATGCTATAACGTACTTTTAAAAAAACAAAAAGAAGGAAAATGCTACAAACATTTTGGCTCAACCAATGAGAGAGGAACTTGGATTCCCTCCTTTATTTATACAACAACTATAACTTTTTGACGTAACTGTTACATTTGTTGAACTAACAATTTATGTGCACCACAAGACAAGGGCATAGGATCTCCACTACAAGAGGGGATCCGGATTCCAAAGATTGAGCTCCGAATTTTGAATGCATATATGAAAAATCACTTATTTTAAACTGTGTTTAATTAATTATAATTTTCAATATAAGTTTAAAATCTCAAAATGTACACAACCAGCAGTTACAAATTATGGCACATTCGATCAGTGCATGTATAGTACTACTAAATTTGTATACGTACAGGTTAGAAGGGAAGGTGGCAATTATTACTGGCGGTGCAAATGGAATCGGAGCAAGCATTGTGCACCTCTTTTGGGAAAATGGTTCCAAGTTTGCAGGGGCGGAAGGAAGGGGGGCTGGCAGGGGCCATGGCCCCCCTAATTTTTTTTGGAATTTTTTTCTAGTATAGGTAAAAATATACTAAAAATAAAATAATATAACATATATGATATAAAATCTATACTTGGCCCACCTAAGGAAAAAAAAAATTATTTTTTTAATTAGCATTTAACAAAAGATAGTTTATATATAATCTAAAAGAACGTGATTTAATTGACGACTATAGAATCCCAACTCAAACATCGTTGTTTCTATAATGTGACTATCTTAAATCCTTCTAACTCAAGCACGATTCTTTTCATAACCTTACTATCCTAAAATTTCATCTCATACATGATTCTTTCCATCACTTTTTTTTTTTCTTTTTATTTATTTTTATTGGAATGCTTTTATAAGAATTCTATAAGAAATTAATTTTTACAAAATCAATGATTTAAAAATCTAAATTCTTATTTTATTAATTTGTTTGTGTTTTTTTTTTCGGCAAATAAAGAGAGTTATTTAATTGAATTTTTTTATAATTTTGGCATAAATCTTATTTGTGTTTGTTTAGAAAGTTTGATAAAAAATTTCTTTAAATAACTAGTTTTTTTTTATTTAAATAAATTGGGAAAAGTTTAGAAAGATATATTTTTGTATGAATATAATAAATAGTAAAAAAAAATTGCTTACATAATATATATATTTTTTTCAAAAGTTCTGGCTTAGTTGTTGTTTATAATTTTGGTCCCCCCAACCTCAAGATCTTGGCCTCGCCCTAGCAAAGTTGTGATTGCAGATGTCCAGGATGAGCTAGGACAAGCCATTTCCGACAAACTTGGTGAAAATGTATGCTTTATTCACTGTGAAGTGTCAAAAGAAGAAGATATCAGCAATCTTGTTGACACCACCATTGCCAAGTATGGACAGCTCGACATAATGCACAACAATGCAGGCATTGTGGACCGCCATTTTGGAAACATTTTGGACACCCCCAAGTCGGATCTAGACCAGGTTCTTTGGGTTAACTTGGTTAGATCATTCTTAGGAGCCAAACATGCTGCCAGGGTCATGGGCGGAGGCAGCATGTGCCCAGGGGGGGCAGCTGCCCCCCATGCCCATGCTACCCCATTATAATTTTTTATTTTTTTATACATAAATTTATAAAAATTGACATAATGCCCCCCCTAAAATTAATAAAACGGCCCCTCTATCCCTGAATCTACTAAAATTTATTGTATTTTATGCATATAATTTGTAAATATTTATAAAAACTCCCTCATAAAATTTATAAATTATCCCCATAAAATTATCTATTTTTAAAAGTGTCTTTAATTCTTTATTCCTTTTCCTTCTTAAACTTCAAATTTCTTTTTGTCATATTAAAAAACTTTTGCATTCTCTTTCTACAATTAAAACCTATTTTTTCCTTCAAAATTCTCTCATATTTTTTTCTTTTTATTTCATTTTCTTCTTAAAAATTTCTCTTTTCTTGCACTCAAGCATAATTTATGTGCAATAACATTCTTTTTCTTTTTTCTATTCTTATTCATTTTTTATTCATGATTCTAATGCACTGTTGTTACCCTTATATTTTTGACCTACTTGAAAAAAAAATATTTTATCAGTGTTAACATGCCCCCTGAACCAAATTCCTGACTCCGCCCCTGGCCGGGTGATGCTACCCCGGGACAAGGGATGCATACTGTTTACAGGCAGTGCTTGTTCATCCATTGCCGGGCTTTCGACTCATGCATATGCAGTCTCAAAGTATGGTGTTTTAGGACTAACAAAGAACTTGGCAGGCGAGCTTGGACAGTATGGCATAAGAGTGAATTGTGTGTCGCCATACGCTGTGATCACCGGCATATGTGATCCAAGTGGTTACGATGCAGCTGAAAGAGTGGCTGCTGTGTATGAGATGGGCAATCTCAATGGTGAAATTCTCAAATGTGAGGATGTTGCAAAGGCTGCACTCTACTTGGCAAGTGAGGACGCCAACTATATAAGTGGTCTCAATCTTGTGATTGATGGAGGCTTCAGTGTTGTCAATCCTACCATGATGAGGGCTTTTGGCTTACTTCAGTGAGTAATATATATATATATATGACAAGAGGGAGAGAGATCTACGTTATGAATTAAATTTAAATTTGAAAGCTATACATAGCTATGTTTAGTCATGAGACTAAATTAACCTCATTATCTCTGTTTTAATTCATTATATATTGTTCGTATTCTACAATGTGTTTACCCTCCTCTGTCTAAATGATCTAATGCCACTAGCTAATGATGCTGCTTGATAATACCTACTGCTTCTGATCTCTAATTGTATGTCTATATTGTTCGACTTTAGTGAAATCTATTTAGATTTTGAAAGATTTGAACATTTCGGGCCGGACCAAGACCAACTAGAATTAATTTTTATTTTTGATTCAATTTTTCATCCAGGTGGGAAAACGATGAACTATTTTATAATATTAATATCATACCACGTGTTTCACCTAAAATAAAATCATAAATCATATTTTTTTTTACTATGTTATGCTGCATGAAATTGATAAAATTAGAGAAAAGTAACTCACAAAATTGAATTAAAATTTTCTCTAATTTTACAAATTTTCTCTAATACCAAGACTACAATTTTATGCAACATGAGATAAAACATTAGTTTGAATACTCAAATGCACATAATTACAAGAAAAATAAAAAAATAAAAAAAAGTTTCTTTATTTTCTCTTCTCCTTTAATGTAAGGGGAAAGTGCATAAAACACCCATGAAATATACTTTTTGTAGTATTTTTACTCCTTATTTGAAAAAGTGTGCAATAAACACCCTAATCTTTTGAAATTGTGCAAAATTACCCCTCTGTGCAATAAACACTCCTAAATTATTGCTGTAATACCCATTTTGCCCTTTTAGTCTTCCCAAAATACCCCTCATTCTCTCTCTAATGCCACTAGCTAAATGATGCTGCTTGATAATACCTACTGCTTCTGATCTCTAATTGTATGTCTATATTGTTCTACTTCAGTGAAATCTATTTAGGTTTTGAAAGATTTGAACATTTCGGGCCAGACCAAGACCAACTAGAATTAATTTTTATTTTTGATTCAATTTTTCATTCAGGTCGAAAAACGATGAACTATTTTATAATATTAATATCATACCACATGTTTCACCTAAAATAAAATCATAAATTATATTTTTTTTCGACTATGTTATGCTGCATGGAATTGATAAAATTAGAGAAAAGTAACTCATAAAATTGAATTAAAATTTTTTCCAATTTCACTAATTTTTTCTAATTCCAAAATTTCAATTTTATGCAACATAAGATAAAACATTAGTTGGAATACTCAAATGCACATAGTTACAAGATAAAAATAAAATTAAAAAAAAAAAGAAAAAAAAGTTCTTTATTTTCTCTTCTCCTTTAATGTAACACCTGTAACTACCAAATTACAAGAGGAAAAAAAGAGAAGTTGTTTTCAGAAACTATTTTAAATTGTATGAATGAGAAAAATATACTGTTGCTAAAACAAAATAAACTAAACTACACACTTCACTTTCACAAGTGTATGTTGCGTGAAAAAAAATTACAGTTCTTGTGGCCTTGGTCATGCCACAAGTGAAAGTTTTGCGACTGCTACTGGGGATAAAAAAATTTAAATGCGGTCGTTTGTATGTAAGGAGATATTTCCTTCCTGGGGTTACTTTTGATGGGCCAAAATGGTAAAAACTACCATCTACGCACGCACCAAATCACTAGTTTCACACTACAAATTCTTCAAGTCAAAAACTTTTGAACCAAGGCTGTGATTCCTCCAACCCTTGTCACTATAAAAGCTTGCTTTAACGTTGTAAATCAATTCTAATTCAAGAGGTCTGGTAATGAATACTTTGGTATGTTGGGAGAATCGAATTCGTGACTTGAATTTGATATCGAAAGAAATTTAATTAAAAACATTAAATTAAATTTCTTCAAATTTCAAATTTAAAATGTTGATTCGATGCTACCAAAACACAATATCATTTTTCTTATCAGTTTACCGAACATTTTCTTTCATCTTCATGATAGTTATATGGTGCTAACTCAAAGTATATTCTACAGATTTGTGATCAAAATCCCATGGCGGATGCCGCAACGACATTCCTCTCTATGCCCCACATTCGAAGGAATTTCAGAGGACAGTTCAATGTGGCATTTAACGCCCCGAGATACTAATGGAAGGATAAAACTCCATTTGAAACACACACCAAAAGCATGAGGGTTGGCATTGTTAGTTTGCTCATATATTGCTGGGCATACGATGCTAAGCTGAGACATTCTTTAACTCATCATCCAACTTTTGCCCTTGTTCTTCGTCGTAGTTTGGTGCTGTTTGGTTCTTTGGCAGTGGTGTCTCTTGCTTCAATTCTCTTTGCAGACTCCATTAGGCTTGTTCTGTACTTGCTTTACATCTTATTTTCAGCAAGCGAACTGCTGAACCGAAGACTTCAAATGCTGTGTAATTGGCTCCGCCATCAGAGAATCATGGCCGAAATTCACCATATATTGCATGTTCCTGAGAAGCACACCATAGATGTACTCCCTATATAACAAAAGGAAAGACTGGTGTGACTGCCCTGTATTCCCGAGAGTTCAGCTTGTTTGGTTCGAAAGTTCAAGGAAACACGCACACCACCGAGACTTGAACATTCAAACTCCATTTGGGGAGGAGAGCTTTATATACGATTTAGGTCGATGCCGGCCAGATATTGGTCTCCACCAATCTTCGAAGTCTTGTAAGTCAAACATGTCAAAAAGTGTGTTGTCTGGTATATATATATGTATGACTAGTTTAGGAGATCAATTATGTGAAGCATCAGAATGGTAATATTATTCATCTTCTCTTTCGTTTTCTCACTTTTTTCGGTATGAAATTTCTGAACTTTGTACATGCATGCACCAAAGCAAGGTAAGAATATGTAGGATGATATCCCAACAATAAGTGTTCTGAATTTGAGACTAGTAAAAGGTAAGAAATCGGTATTCGAATGAGGCACAATGCCACTAAATTTATAACATAATTTAATCAAGCAGAAAATATATATGGTGATGCAACTAACCCTGAACTATTTAAAAGTTGCTACTTACGGTAATTTATGAAAGTTTTTAATTTATCATTTTAAGGGGGTGATTTGCAGCATTTCTTAATACATACAAATATCAAAGTTGAGGGGAAATTTACAAAATCATAAAACTTGCGGGGTTTTTTAAGTTTGCCCAAAAGGATATTATAGGCATTTTACAACTTAAAATCACATGTTCCATGCACATTATACTATTTCATCCATTCTGTAACATTTTGCAAGGGCGATTGGGTGATTTGCATCCTTTCTTAATACTTTATTACTTTAATGGTGGGTTATTTGCAGCATTTCTTAATACTTCAAGGTGTCATATTTGTGTAATTAATAAAATCAAGGATGTTGAGGGATTTGTTTTTTTTAGTTTACTCAAAAGCGTATTGTGAAAATTTTATAATTTAAAATCGCATGTGCTATGCATGTGATACTTAGGCATATAAACAGATCAAATTCAATCCGAATCAGACCTTATTTAATCCGAATTCTATAAGATTATTTGGTAACCAAATCCGGGTATTAATGAATCCATGTCATATTTATTACTATTTTTTAGATATCAAATCCGTTGAGGGTGTGGTTTGTTTTTTTTTATTTATGAAATTAATGCTAAAGGAGAGGCAAATAATGATTTGAATGTAAACGAGATAAAAAGGAAGAAAATTAATTTATGGAATAAAAAGAAGATAAGAAAATTAAATTTGTGCTTTTTGTTAAAGAAAAAAACACTAAAGGGCTCGGGAGGGGTTCAAGCATGAGTGTTGGCAAAAAGTGTGTAAGGAAGGAGTGTTGGTGTATTTTTTGCTAATGTAAATAAAATAATAATAATAATAATAAAAATACATGCAAAAATAATTAACATGTAAATATTATGTATGATAGTATTATGGTCTTGATACAAACTGCAACAGGCACGTGTGTTTCATGATTTGATCTAAAAATTTAAGTTATTAGGTGGTACTAACATACAACTCATATATGCTAATTACCGGGAAAAAAAATAAATAAATTAATTAAAAAAAAAAATTACAGTTCTGATTTTGAGGCTAGTCAAGAAATTCAGAATCCGGTAGAGGAACTAAACCGTTCCAAAGTGGAGGCCGTAACCACAAATCCCAATAGCATAAATCACCAGGTCCCAAAATTTAGCAATTTGGATAAGATTTTTTTTTTTTTTCTCAACACCATGATGTGTACATTGTATATATAACAATAATTTTTTTTGCACTTTACCCTTCATAATATTTTTAAAAAATTTCAACATCAACTAAGCATAACTTATGTGGACTCAAGCTGATGACAGAGAGATAAAAGGTATATATATATATATTATAACACATGATATGATACGTCCCAAGAGATTAATTTGTCTGCAAAGCTAGAAAATTGGGGCTTCCAGCTTTTGTGTACCATACCTGGGAAGAGAGAGATGCTAAGATTTCAGTAGAAAGAAGGACTTTCAGAGAGTTGTATGTACCAAGATCTGCTCAACCATCTCTTCGATTCTAAAATTGGGGTGCCTTTGTGACTGTGCTTCATCAAGAACCATTCTCAAGGATTGGAACATTTCCCCGTCCTATTGCAGACCTCCGCCGCGGCCACCGGACTTAGATTTGGCGGTTCAGCCGCCTTTCCTTGCTACCGGCCCGAAGTTCTTCTTGTTATTGGCAATTGTCGTTAATGGTAGTTACCATTTTGTTTTCAATGTTTTCATTGCTGGGCCTGCCCATTTGGGCTTGTTTTAAGCTTGTAATTTGCTACTTTGGGCCAATGGTCCATTGTAAATATTTCAATTAATGAAAATTGCTTTAATTTTCTAAAAATAAAAAAAAAAAAGAGATGTATAACAATGTTTTGTTGTCCAACCCTTCAAACCATAATCTCTCTTTCGAAAAGGTTAGAACTTCTATCTTGCCATAATAAGTGCCTACTAAGAAGGTTGGTTGTTTTAATTCTGAAGT